AAATTATAAGGAGATCAGATAGGAACAATCGGAACCAAGAGAAAACGTCTACAGTGAGCCTATTCAAATTAAGTAGAACCATCACATTTTGGAGTTGGCACGCAATAGTAAGCCATAGACTTGGCATTAACGACAGAAGAGAAAGAGAAAATGTAGTGGCTATTTTTAGTTGGCTATTAGTAGATAAGACGTATTCCCTAAATTTCGTTTAAGGTGATGAAGGAAGGGTAGTATAATTTTCCCACAATGATATGAGTATAGCTGACGTTTATATTGAATTTCACATAGCCCTGTTTTCACAAAAGTTGTTCTCATCCAGAGTGGACTGCTGTTTCAGCCTTTTTCCATATCACATTCTTTGTTGGGATTGTCGATGAGGCAAACGTATTTCTATTATAACAATCGACTATGTTAATTATTTTTAGTACATAAGTAGAGTTTCGAGACTACCAGTAAATCAGTAATATGATACGTATTCACCCTATTTCGTTTAAGATGATGAAGGAATGTGATATGGAAAAAGGCCTGGCCTTTCTTGATGCTCACACACTGCCCTGTAACCCAATGGCACTCGTGGAAATGTGGCTAGGTGGTTAACGTGTCAAGCTCACATGCTGCACTGTCATGATTCGACTCCCGCTGGGAGTGTTGATAAGACCTATGCGGGATCAAAAGTACAGTCCACTTCAGCCTGTGTGAGAATAACTTATGCGAAAGCATGGCTCCATGAAATTAAATGAACACATTAGCTCTACTCATATGATTGTGGAAAAATTGTACTACCAATCCTTCATCACCTTACACGAAATAGGGTTAATACATCTCATATTACTGATTTACTGGTAGTCCCGAGACTCTACTTATATACGAAAAATTATTAGATAAGTTTGTTCATAGATGTGGTCCATGAAATAAAGGCTTGACCTCGAGATTTACTTGATAATACAATCTGCAGCGTCAAGTTAGGTTGCCATGCCGATCGAGAATCCAGACTTTAGGGGATTGCTCAGTGAGGGTGGTGTATACGTGCTATCAAAGGCTTGAGGTAGAGTGTAGAGCCACGCCTTGAGTATCATGGATACGTTAGAGCGATGGAGTGAAATCACTGAAACAGGCAGATTAGGGAAGAATCCTACGGAGCAAGAGGGGACTCTGATAGGACCTGAAGGAAGAGAATTGCGGATCAAACCGCAGTTTTGGATCAACATTTCCGGCACAGTGTAAGGGTTTCGAGCATGTTTAGATGAAACGGTAAGAAATTTTGATGTTGATTGTGTAATACGAGGATATAGGAAAGGTGTATAGCCCTGGGCAGAAGAGAAGATACCACAACTGTTTAGCAGACAATTGGTCAGAGGGTCGACCTCATTTGTCTCTTTGACGGATTGTGTTGTGGTGCTATGAATGTACCGTCTACACGGTCAGACTCTGGAAATTATGCGAAGAAGAGTTGGGTTTCGAGGAATCTCTTGCTTCATTATTGTTGAGCTTAGTTCCATTTCGATTGAAAGTGTTGGGTGAAGAGATTGGAAGGTCGGTTCCACCAGAAGACGACGGCGGATTCCTCTTGACCAGCTGTCGATTGGCTGTACTGGAAAATTCATGCTGGCGCTGTTTGCGAGGCAATCTCCTTCGATTCCGATAAAAAGGTGCTAAGCTTTTGCCCGCCACATGACGGACATTATCAGAGCAAGGTATCAATTTCATTTCAAGCTTAGCTTAGCCTACTTATGGGGTTAAAATAGGTATTATGAACTCATTAAAGTTTTGATTTAGGATATGTGTGTCCATGAGAGCAAAAATAGGAAATGTAACGAAAAGTTAACTTTAGAAAAATTTAATTTCTGGTCTTTACAAAATATGTTTAGAATATTGGGAATTGTTGGGGATGTGTGATGGCAGGATCCTAAATAAAGAGAAAGGGTACTTTCCCATAAGTAAACAATTATACATAGAAGACGATCCTACTTCGGTTCTCGGTGGCGTCAACTTAGAAGTCTGTTGGTATGCTTCTTCAAAGGTACCGGACGGCAAACTAATAATAATGAAAAGAATGACAAAACTACACACATTTGTAACATAAAAGTAAAAACACAAAATAACACAGATTTCTATAAATGTAGGGAAGTCAAGATTTTGCTTTAATCATCCTAGTTATATGAGCCAAACCGAGGGGACCTTCACACTTTGATAGACAGAAAGTCTGAGAACATCCCAAATAAGAATGTAACTATTCCAGTTAATTTAAATATCGCCTCCAGTGAGGCTTGACTCTTCTGAGTCCAAATCTAGAGAACAGCTGATGAAACTAGTTCAGGGTCGAACTCTCTTTTTCTATACATAGGACAATACTATGCAGTGCAAAATCTGGGTTTAACGTCTAAGTAATTATTAAATGACCAAATCTAAGTGCATGAGAGTGATTAAACTCTGTCTTACAATGCTGTCATCCCCTTTTCTGAATTTAGCATGTAGGAGAATATGCTTAAATTATGATTTCTGCTTATAAATGGTTCTGACAAATGACAGACCAAGGCCGAACACGGAGGGCAATTCTTGAATACAAACTTAGTCACTTCAAGTCGCTTAAGATGATTTAGAGACTGGAAATAGAGTTTTTCCCACAAGTGTCTGAGTAGACGCCAAAATGGCGTTGAGGTTCGCTCAGCCTTGCCTCCCAAACAGTTTTATCATTCAAAGCGGACTGCCAAATGGGATTTGAAACTGGGTTGGGCGCGTAATGTATCAACAAGTCTCCACTAGGCCACAGCCATGGGTACTAATGGGCCTCAGGGCAGACGTAACATTCGAGGTGAGCCAGGCATTGCTCGAATCACATTCATACTGAGACTGTCGACTTGCTGATATTTTCGATGTTTATATGAATGCACATAACGTGGTCAACTGTAATAGCAAAAGATAGTCTCAACTACAATCCTACTATGAATATGATATGAGAGAGGTCTGACCTTCCTTGAAATTCACGACTGCTCTCTCACACACGGACACTTGGGGAAACGTGGCATAGAGATACATGGGCTTGATTCCCGTGAAGATTGTTAATAAAACCCAAATGAAAGTAAATACTGAACTCCAGACTAACTTTTTTAGTCTTTTGGGAAACATGGTAAACTGAAGTGGGTTGACCTCGTTGTCGCAACTTGGTCTTGTTGTCAGGGCGACTTAGTACAACGCACCTAGTCCGAAGTCGTCTGCCATAGTAGTCGTCATGATTCCCAGCATCAGACAGTGGATTTGGTACATTATCAAACATTTCCCCCGCATCGTAGTCGGCGT